CTATTTACATCAAGTGGAATGAAGGTGGACAGGGCAAATTGGATTTCCATTCAACGATCCACACACTTTAACATTTCATGGCACTGTTTGTCCTTCCCACAGAGTAACAGCTCGCTTCCCATTTTGTCCTTGTGCCCCCATTTCCATGCACCCCCCTTTTCCATGTCCCTCCCTGCCTCCTTGGCTTTATCTCTGGGCAAACACCGTCCCTTTCATCTCTCATGGCTGCCTGTTCTAAGAAGTGCTTACCTCCCTAGTATCGTTATGGACCTTTCTAAAGCATTCATACAAGTCCCCTCCCCACCACCCTGCTAACATAGGAGCTGAGCCCCTCTCTGGGGTGGGGGTGTACAATGCACTGTAGGGTGTGGGCCTGCTCAAAGCCAGTGGCACCCACTCCCCTGTGGTATGAACGAGCAGGCTAAGTAAGCAAATTGTTGCCATGTGCCATCGAGTCAGAACTGACTCATAGCTGACTCTCCAGCAGGTTTTCAGAGCCAGACAACCGCATGGGAGGAGGCTGCTCATTGCTCTCCCACTGATCAGCTGGTAGATTCGAACCACGTGCCTTTGGTTTCTCAGCATAGCTCCTTACCTCGGGGCCACCAGAACTCCCCTACATAGGTTGTTAATTGTTAGGTGCCTTTGAGTTGAATGAGACTCATGGTGACCCTATGAACAACAGATCTGAACCTTGTCCTTTCCTGTGCCAGCTTCATTATCTGACACACTTAAGGCCAGTACGCAAGTCACTGCGTCAATCCACCACATTGAGGGACTTCTTCTCTTTCATAGTACCTGTATCTTTCCAAGAATGATATTCTTCTCCCAGGAATAGCATCTCCTGTTTTATACAGAAGCTAGGTAAGCTCTGGTGGCCTAGTAACAAGGATTTATGCTGTCAGTGCTGTCAAACCAAAGGCATGGAGGTCAAATCCGCTCGCTGCTCAAAGGAGAAGGACAGGCAGTTAACTCCTGTGTGGTTGGCTGCTTCTGAAAGCCCACTGGAAGGTCAGCTATGAGTCGGTCTAGACTCCATGGTACACAGCACACACACAATGTATCCTCTCCATCTTTCACTTGCTGTACATCTCAGAGCTGGATAATAAATAAGGACGGCAGAAGATGAATTGACGATACCTTTGAGCTGTGGCGTTGGAACAGAGCACTGAATATCACATGGACAGCCAAAAGAACAAACAGGTATGTCTTGGAGAAGGTGCAGCCAGAGTGCTCCTTGGAGGCAAAGATGACTAAGCTGCATCTCACATGCTCTGAGCATGTGGCTAGGAGAGGCTATTTCTTGGAGAGGGACATCATGCTTGGAAAGGTGCAGAGTCAGTGAAAGCAAGCAAGCCCCTCAATCAGGTGGATTGACACCGTGGCTGGTGCAATGGGCCCAAGAGTGTGAAAAATGATGAGGACGGCACAGGACAGGACAGGGTTCCAATCTGCTGTTCATCGGATCACTGTGAGTTGTAATCGACTCAATGGCACCTAACAACAACATATGTTGAAGTGTAGGTGTATGAGTATAAAATTATACATACATAATTTTATTGTGATTAAACATGACATGAAGCTGCCTTTTCACCTTTTTAAGGGTGTGGTTCGGGAGCATTTGTGACATTCAGCCCGCTGTACCACCATCATTGTTATCCATTATCATAAGCTTGTCATTGAAGGGACAGCAGAAACCCCATTTTTTTATAAACCCCCATTAATGTTAGAGGCAGAAGCGGGCCATAAAATTTCTTAGCTTAGGGCAAAAACGAGTGCCCCGGGTAAAGCCTTGTCTGTCCTTGAAAAGTAAGGGATTAACTAGTGTCTACGTGACACAGAAGGAGTAAAGGCGGGCAAAGTAGCCAGCCTGTCAAAAGTCAACCCAAATGACTAATTCCCCAGCCCACCAACCATGATCGCAATCCCCCTGCCCTAACAGGGGCACTCAAAAGAGCTATAAAAGCAAGTGGGAGGGGAAACTCGGGCCTTTTTTCTTTCACCACCTTCCTGAGGAGGGAAAAAGTCTCCATGCATGGAAATAATATAATAAATGCTCTTGACATTTCAGACGTGTTTTTAGATTTCTTTGAAGGGCATTTCGTGGGCAGAACAGTCACACGCCAGAACACTCCACCTTCAGGACAGTAACTCTTCCAGCCCTCCCCAGCTTCTGGTAACCTGCAACCACGTCCTGCCTGCACACTTTGGCCCTTCGGGACAGTTCCTTCACAGGAGAGTTCCCACAGGAGGGATCTGACACTCTGTAGCTTTGTGACTTGCTTCTCTCACTAAGCATCATGCTGGCGAGGACCCCCACCCCCTCCCCCAGCCACGGCTTACACCAGGACTTCATTTCTCCTTACCTCCTTACGGAGTAACATTCCACTGCCTGAGGGTCCACCTCTTTCTTACTCACTCCTCTGGTTTGGTTTGGAACTTTTGTAAAATTCTTTTACAGAGAATCATGCAGTCAAGTTTCCCACATTTGGGGAAATCACAGGGTCCAGCACATCCAGGGTGCAAAGGATAAGCCTCACGCTGGGAAAACCACCTTTGTGATCTTTGTATCTCCCTGCCAGGTAAGCATTCACTCCTCTGCTGAGGGAGCACTCTGTATTTTAACGGGCAACAGTACTTGGGTCTCTTATGTGGTTGTGGTTGTTGTCGTTGCTAAGTGTCATCGAGTCAGTACAACTCCTAATGACCCTATGAACAACAGATCTGAACCTGTCCTATGCTGTGCCGTTCTCATCACCTCTGCCTCACTACAGCCTATTGTCACAGTTACAACATCAACCCATCTCGTCGAGCGACTTCCCCTCCTTCCACCTTTCCGAGCATGTTGTCTTTCTCCATGGACTAGCTCCTCCTAACAGCATCTCCAAAGTAGGTGAGACAAAAATTTCACCATCCCCAAAAAAAAATTTCACCATCCTTCCTCCTAAGGAGATTCTTGGTTGCACAATCTTCAAGACACATCTGTTCTCATGGCAGCCTGTGGGGTACTTAGTGCTCTTCTCCAGCACGACAATGTAAAGCCATCAATTATTCTTCTTCTATTATCTTTAATCAGTGTCCAACTCTCAAATGCATAGCCAGTTACTGAAAAATCAATGATGCGAGCTCTGGTGACCTAGTGGCAAGAAGCTGCACTGCAAACCCAGAGGTATGTTGTTTGAATACAACAGATGCTCTGGTGGAGAAGGAGGGACGATCTCCTTCTGTACCAGTCAGGTATGATTTGATGGTACACACACAAAAAAAAATTAAAAAATAATTTTTTTAAAAAAGAAAAACCCATGACATGGATCAGGTGCACCTTAGTCTTTAAACTGATATCATTGCTCCTCAGTAATTTGGAGAGGTCTTGACAGCAGATTTTCCCCAGTGTAACACGTCTTTTGCTATCTTGACATTATTGCCATAGGTTTTGATTGTGGGCCCAGGTAAGAAGAAATTATTGACAAGCATCTATTTTTTTCTCCATCTATCAAGTTGTCCCATCAGCCCAGTGGTGATAACTTTTGTTCTTGCTGTCAAGATGTAACCCATACTGAATGTTGTAGTTTTTTATCTTTGGCAGCAAATGATTCAAGTATCAACCACTTTCAGCAAGCAAGGTTGTGTCTTCTGCATAATGCAAGTTGTTAATGAGTCTTCCTCCAATCCTGATGCCACATTCTTCACAGACTCCAGCTTCTTGAGTTTTATTGTTACTATGTGCCATTGAGTCAGCTGCGACTTGGAGCAACCCTACGTACAGTAGCTCTGAAGCCTGCTCTATTTTGAGCCAGTCTCACTGTCTCTGACACATCTACCCCATTACCGGAGTTATTGTGTCAATCCATCTCATCGAGGGTCTTCCTCACCTACTAAGCATGATGTCCTTCTCCAGGGACTGGTCTATCCTGGCAATATGCCCAAAGTATGTGAATTGGAGCTTTAGAATCCTTGCCTCCAAGGAGTAGCCTGGTTTCACCCTCTCCAGGACAGACAGACCTATTTGTTCTCCTGACAGCCCATGGTATATTCAATGCTCTTTTCCAGCACCACAGCTCAAAGGGATCGATTCTTCTTCTGTCATCCTTGGTAATTTATTTTAAGTTTCAAGATCAAAGATTACTCCCATAAGGATAACTACAAGACCATTATTGCAGAACGTGTATGAGGATTCAGGCAGGGGTAGGAGGGAAACAGTGGGGTGAGGATGGGCAAAGGTGGTGGTTAATCACACGGTCACACAATTTGATGGCTGGAGGGTGAGGTGTGTAAAGGAAATGGGAGAAATCCAGTGTGAAAAACAATGTCTATGAACTTTGTAAGTAAATCAGTATAAAATAAAAATTGTATTTATTTTTTAAAATAAATAAATAAAAATGATCAAAGAATATTGGTATACAAGTCTCCATTTGTACCTCAATTGTCATTTTCTCAGGGTATATTCCAAGCAGTGGAATAGCTGGGTCATATGGAATTTCTTTTCTTTTGTTTTGTTTTTTAAGTAATCTTAATGAAAGTTTACAAACTTAGGGTTTCCAGTCATTCATTTTTTGCATTTTTCTCCCTGCCCATCCCCTCCCCTTGAAATCATACTTCTCCTTGAAAAGGGAAAGAAAAACTCTTTCATTGTTATGCAATCCCTCCTCCCAAGTTCACTCCACTGTGCAGCCTCCACTCTGGACTTCTGTAATGACAAGAATATCCTTCACATACCCCTTTTAAACAGATCTCTCCCTCATCAATATACATCATTCCTTCCCTCCTTTTCTGTCTTCCCTCAACCCTGATGTCAGTCCTGCTTTACAACAGTGACCCTATGCAGTATTTGTCCTTTTGTGACTGAGATATTTCACTCAGCATAATGTCCTCCAGGGTCACCCATTTTGCATAATATTTCATGAGTTCCTTGTTTTTCAATTCTGCATAGTATTCCATTGTGTCTATCCATCCGTTTGTTGATGGGCACTTGGGTTGTTTCTAGTTCTTTGCTATTGTGAACAAAGTCACAATAAACATGGGTTTGTCATACAGAATTTCTATGGTCAGCTTTTTAAGGAAGGACCAAACTGCCTTCCAGAGTGGCTGTATCATTTTACAATCCCACCAACCAGGTTTAAGAGTTCCTATCTCGGCGAGCTCTGGTGGCCTAGTGGCAAGAAGCTGCACTGCAATCCTAGAAGTATGTGGTTCGAATCCACCAGATGCTCTGCTGGAGAAAGAGGAAAAATCTCCTCCTGTACCAGTCAGATCTGATTTGACGGTACACACACACAAAATAATAAAAATAAAATAAAAAAAATTTTAAAAAAGAGTTCCTATCTCGCCACATCCTCTCCAACATTACTTGCAGCCTGTTAAATGTTGCCACTTGTTGCTGGAATGAGCCTGTATCTCATTGTGGTTTTGAGTTACATCTCTCTTATTGCCAGTGATTTTGAGCATTTCTTCATGATGGCCATTCAAATATCTTTCTCTGTGAAGCTTCTTTCCATGTCTTTTGCCCATCTTATAGTTGGGTTAGCAGTCTTTTTTCTTGTGGAGGCCCAGGAGTACACTGTAAACTTTTGTTATGAGACTCTTGTCTGAGATGGTATTAGTATTACCAAATGTTTGATTCCAGTCGGTAGGCTTTCTTTTCATCCTGGAGATTTGTACGCCAATGTTCATAGCAGCATTATTCACCATCGCAGGAACATGGAAACAGCTCAGATGTACAACCACAATCAAACAGATTGAGAAATTTTGGTATATAGTCAATGGCACACTACACAGCATGCAAGAACAATGGTATAGTAAATTATTGCCTCACTTGGGAGGGACTGGAGAGCATTATGCTGAATGAGCTAACCCAGTCCCATAAGGACAAATATTGTGTAAAACTATTATTGCAGATGAGTACAAGGATCCAAGGGGGGGTGGACGCAGAGGGATGAGAATGTGGAGGGGGGATTAATCATGGGTTGTACAATTTTATGGGTGAGTGGGGTGAGGAAAATTGGAAGAATCTGAGCTGGAAAACAATGTATTAGAATTTTGTAAACATAGCAGTATTATTTTAAAAAATGATCAAAGGTTACAGCCCTTCAGTATGGATTGTATCTCAACATTAAGAAAACAAAAATCCTCACCACTGGACCAAGAGACAGCATCATGATCGATGGAGAAATTATGAAAGTTCTCAACAATTTCATTTTACTTTGATCCGCAATCAACAGCCATAGTAAAAAAACTTTAAAAAACGTCTTGCATTGGGCAAGTCTGTCGTCAATGATCTTTCTCAAGTGCTAAAGAGTATGGAGATCAACTTAAAGATGAAAGTGTGCCTGATAAAAGCCATGGTGTGAAGAGGATTGATGCCTTTGAGCTGTGGTGCTGGAGAAGAGTGTTGAATACCCTGGACTGCTAGGAGAACAAAGAGGTTTGTCCTGGAGAAGATGAAGCCGAATGCTCCTTGGAGTCAAGGATTCTGAAGCTTCGCCTGACATATTCTGGGCATGTTGCAAGGAGGGACTGGTCCTTGGAAAGGGACATCATGTTTGGCAGAGCGGAGGGGAAGCGAAGGA